CCCCGATTTAAATCAACCATCATTTTTCTAAATCGGGATTAGAAACCGCTCCCACATGCCACCCCGCCAATCCAAGACCTCCCAACGCGCCGCTGCCGACGCCGCTGCTGCCACCTCCGCCGCTGCTGCCACCTCTGCCGCTGTTGTCACCTCCGTTGTCCCCTCCACTCCATCTTCTCCCTCTGCCCCACCTTCGTCCCTCCCCATGGCCGAAGGCACCTCAAGCATCAACATGGGCTCGCTCTGAATGGATTCCGTCGAGGATATCCACTGCGAGCTTGTCGACCAGCCAGGCACCGGGGAGAACACATCTCTCCTCTCCATGTTTCAAGCACTCTCTGCCTCGCTCCGCAGAATCGAGGCCTCCGTGACCTCCATATCCGATCGCGTCACCTCCCTCGAAAACCACACACCCGCCATCACCGTCGTCACGACATCACCACCCCCTTCCTCCTCCGGCCAATCCATCCAATCCACCCCCGCCGGCCAAACCGGCCAACCATCTTCTTCCGACCGAAATGGCCAACCCCCCTCCTCCGGCCAATCTGGCCAAAGCCTCTCCGTCGGCCATGCCGGCCAGGCCTCATCATCCAACACCACCCCCCCACCGCCCTCCACCCCCGTCACGTCCCTTCCCGTTTCCCTCCCCTCCTCACAACCTACTACAAGCGCTTCCACCACTACGCGAACCACTCTCCGTCGCCTCTCCTCCCCCCTCACCCAACCTCTCCTAACTACTTTCCACCATCCCCTCTGTCCACCCCTCTTACTCCCAAGTCCTTTTGGGCGTTTACCCCACCATACCCCAACATCCTCCTTGCTACCTCCTTGGTGACCGCAGTCAGGATCACACCTGCTACGACACCTCTCCTGACGACCGCAACTTCAACAACCTCGCTTGCATCGTCCCCCGCAACGGGGACATTCCCCGCTCCTTCCGCGCCACCGATATCGCGACGTTCTCCGGCCTCCCCCACGAGGACATCCTCCTCTCCCAAATCCAAAATGCTTTCGACCTCCACAACATGCCCCTCGCTCATTGGCTCCCCACCGCAACCTCCCGCCTCCAAGGCGCCACCACTCAATGGTGGTTAACCGAAGCCAACAACCGCCGAGCCAACGGCCTTCCCCACATCACCTTCCTCCAATGGGCCGACCTTCTCATCGCCACCTTCCGTCCGCAAAGACCATCGATGACTACATCGATCAATTTTGCAACCTCCGCCAAACCGGCCCCACCGAGCGATTCATCCATTACGTTCGCTCCCTCCGCCTCCACATCCCGTCGACTCTCATACCCGACTACGTCTTCATCTCCCGCATCAAGCGKRTATKCKTCCCCCACCTCGCCKCATCCATTACGTTCGCTCCCTCCGCCTCCACATCCCGTCGACTCTCATTCCCGACTACGTCTTCATCTCCCGCATCAAGCGGGTATGCTTCCCCCACCTCGCCGCAGCCCTCGCCCATGAGCCCGAGCTCCCTCTCACCGATCTCCTTACCCGCCTTCTTCACCATGATCGCCTTCCTCACCTCCGCTCTCAACGACCAGCCGCCCCCAACCGCACCCGGTTTTTCCACAACATGGCCTCCGACGACTTGTCACTCCCCTCCGACGATAACTTCGACTCCTCTCCCGAGTCCCTTGACCCAGCTCAATTCACCGAGGAAGACTTCCAGGCTGTCCATCTCATGAGGATGGAACGGCAACGCCTGGCCTCCCAGCCTTCCTCCTCCCCCCAACCCCCTCGTCTAAAAAAGCTCACCCCCGTCGAACGCGCCTTCCTCCATGCCAACGGCGGTTGTTTCCGTTGCCGCCAGCTGGGGCATCAGCAAACCAATTGCCCCAAGGCCGGCCACTCCACCCACCAGCCTTCCCGCCCCACCGGATCCAGCCCTCCCACATCCACTCCCTCCTCCTCCACCACGGCCTCTGGGCCCTCCTCCACTTGAACACTGTCCCCCCGCCCCTTGTAGCCATGTCCTGGCATCAACAATTCGTTTGTCGGCGACGACTCTCACACCGGACACCCCCCAGGCGTCGCAGTCTACTCCGCCTGCCCTCCTCCCGACGACGTCCTCTATTCCATCGGCTGAGCACCCCACGGCCACATGTTCCAGTTCCCTCCTCCCCAACCTCCCCACCATCACTTTCTCCGATCTCGTTGAGGAACAAGACCGACACACTCGGCTTGTTAGATTAGGCCTCGAGCAGCGTCGCCTCAACGCCATGATCTCCTCCGCTTGTGCTGGGACCGCCCAGTTCCAGCTCAAGTTCGTCGCCGTCTCCTTTGGAGCATCGACGGTGAAGTTCCGGGCCCTTCTCGACATTGGTGCCACCGGCAACTTCATCACGGATGCCTGTGTCCGCAAAGTCGGCCTCTCTTCCACCGGCTATGATTCCCCGATCACCATCCGCCTAGGGGATAAGGACTCAGCCATCGTCGTCGATCGCACAGTCCCCGAGACCACAATGACTGTTGGCCCTCTTCGCAGTCAGGTCTCCTTTGATGTCATGCACCTCATGTGCGACATCGTACTCGGGACTCCTTGGCTCGACCGCCACATGCCCTATACCTTCGACCCCTCTTTCGTCCGCCTTTCCACCCCTCCCGATCCACCCCTTGACATCCCCTACCTTCTCCCTCCCTCCACCCCTTCCCCCGTCTCTCCTCACCAATTTCTTCACATGACCCGTGAGCACCCCGACTCCGCCTACTATTGCCTTGTCATTGACCGCGACCGTCCCGAGGACTTGCTTCCAACGGACAAACCCGACCAGGACCCCCCCTCCGACCCTCAGATCTCCGCCCTCCTATCCGAATTTAAAGACGTGTTTCCCGAATCCTTGCCGGCCAGACTACCTCCCGACCGAGGTGTTTCCCACACCATCGATCCCGAACCCGGCCACTCCCCCCCTTGCCGCCCCCCATACCAGCTCTCCGTCCCCGAGGCCGAAGAAATGAAGCGCCAACTCAATGAACTCCTTGAAAAAGGATTAGCTCCTCCCCCTTCGGTACCAGTTGTCTCTTCGTCAAGAAGAACGGCACCTGGGAACTCCGCATGTGCACGGACTACCGCGCCTTGAACCGGATCACGATCAAGAACAAGTATCCGCTTCCCCGGATATCCGAACTTCTTGATCGCCTTCGTGGAGCCAAATACTTCACCAAGATCGACCTCCACAGTGGCTTCCACCAGATCCGCATCCGTGAGGAGGACACCCACAAAACCGCCTTCCGCTCCCGCTTCGGGCACTACGAGTTTCTCGTAATGCCTTTCGGTCTCACTAACGCCCCTGCCACATTCCAATCCACCATGAACCACATCTTTCACGACCTCCACGAAGTTTGTGTCGTGATCTACCTCGACGACATCCTTGTTTTTAGCCCCACCTTCGAGTCCCACCTTGATCATCTTCGCCAAGTTCTCGCCATTCTCCACGACCAGAAATTCTACGCCAAGCTCAGCAAATGCACATTTGCTGCCTCTAGCGTAGAATACCTTGGTCACATTGTCTCCACCGACGGCATCCGCATGGACCCCAAAAAGGTCTCTCCCCTCGTCGAGTTCCCCCCTCCCACCACTTTAACCCAACTTCGCTCCTTCATGGGACTCGCCAACTACTACCGCCCCTTCATACGCAACTTTTCCGATGTGTCCTACCCTCTCCATGAGCTCACCCGTGCCACCGAACCCTTCGCTTGGACAGACCGCCGCCAAGCCGCCTTCGACAAACTCAAGGAGCTCATCACCACTGCCCCTGTCCTCAAAATCGCCGACCCCACTCGCCACTTCTTCGTCACCACGGATGCCTCCGACTTTGCCATCGGGGCCGTCTTATCCCAGCACTTTCCCCCCGACGTCGTGGAAACCCCCTCCATCAAGGACTCCCCCACTCACTCCCAATGCCCACCTAGCGAGCACCCCATCGCATTCGCCAGCAAGAAACTCCTTCCCGCAGAAATGAACTACCCATCCAACGAGAAGGAGCTCCTTGCCGTGGTCTACGCCCTCAAAGTCTGGCGCCCGTACCTCGACGGGCAATATTTCACCATCCGTACCGATAACACCGTCGTTTCCTCTATTCTTACCAAGAAAGACATCACCCTCGCCAAGCCCGCTGGCTCGACTTCCTTGCCCAATTTACCTTTACCATTTGCCACACCCCCGACAAAAGCAACCGTGTTCCTGATGCCCTCTCCCGCCGCCCTGATCACAAGCCCCTTGAGAAAGTCTACGCCGCCATGACCCACATCCAGCTCCTGCCATTGCTCCACCATCACTACACCCAAGGATACCTCTCTTGCCCCGACTTCTCCACCATCTATAACAAACTCCGTGACCTCGACCCCGTCTTCGGCTACGCCCTCCACGACAACCTTCTCTACATTGAAACCAAAGGCACCCGCCGACTCTGCATCCCTGACGCCCGTGGCCTCCGCACCCAGCTCTTGGTCGTGCACCACAACGCCAAGAGCGCTGGCCACCTTGGTTTCCAGAAAACCTTTGATACCATCTCCGGTGATTTCCATTGGCCTTCCCTCCTTGCTGACGTCAAAGCCTACATCCGCTCGTGCCGCACGTGTCATGCCGTCAACCCCTCGAACCGGGCTAAGTCCGGCATGCTTCAATCATTGCCCATCCCCACCCACCGCTGGCAGTCTGTCTCCATGGACTTCGTGTGCGGTCTTCCCAAGACCGACCGCGGGCATGACTGCATCTACGTCATTGTTTGCCGCCTGACCAAACGTGCTCACTTCATCCCATGTACCACCTCGCACAACGCCAAAGACATTGCCATTCTCTTCTTCGACCATGTCGCCAGACACCACGGCCTCCCCGAGAATATCATCAATGATCGTGACCCCCGCTTCCTCTCCCAATTCTGGAAACAACTCTTCAATGCCTACGGAACCACGCTCAGGTACAGCACTGCATTCCATCCACAAACCGACGGACAGACCGAGAAGATGAACGATACTCTCCAAAGAATCTTGCGGAAGTATTGTCATCCCCACCAGCACGATTGGGATCAGCTGCTCACCGCTGCCGAGATTGCCTATAACAACGCCGTTTGCCCTTCCACTGGCATGTCCCCCTTCTACCTTGACCTTTGCTATCACCCACGCTTGCCTTCTGACTTCTTGTTCCCCTCGCAACTCAACCCATCCTCCCCCTGTCCCTCTCTCAATGAATGGGTTGCAACAATGAACCGTCTCCTAAGAGAAGCAACCGAGTCAATCAAGCACACCCAGGAACAACAAGTTAAACAAGCCAACAAGCATCGTCGTGATATGACCTTCCAAGTTGGGGACAAAGTCTGGCTCTCTGCCAAACGCTTTGAACCCGAACAGGGCTTGTCCAAGAAACTCTCGAACAAGTGGCTCGGTCCCTTCCCCATCATTGAACAAACCTCTCCCGTGAACTACAAACTCCAGCTACCCCCTGACATGAGCCGTGTACACCCAGTCTTCCACGTAGAATATCTCAAGGAATACCACGAATCCCGGCCTCAGTTCGTTGATCGCCCATATCCTTGACCTCCACCTATCATGCTTCCCACTGGACCAGAATTCATAGTCGAATCAATCATAGGAAGAAGAACAACCCAAGTCGCAGACGATCCGAAACCAATCACCGAATACAAAGTCAAATGGACCGGATACCCTGACGAAGAATCAACATGGAAACCCCTTGAAAATCTCAAGAATGCCATGAGACTTGTCCGCGCCTATGATCGTTCCCACCCTGCATCCTAGCTACCCCCCCTGCCCATACCCTGACTAAACCCTGAACCCTTGCTTAAACCCTGCTACAACCTCGCCACCTTGCTCTACACACACCCCCGCCACAGCCACCCTTGCCCTTGACCCACTTTCCTGATGTCTGATCTGCCCTTGTTCCTCGCCTAGCCTTGCCCCATTCGTCCTCTCCACTTCCTTGTCCATCTTGTCCAATGTTGGTGGACCTGCGTGACGACCGGCGATAAAGGATCTAATGGCATGCGCACGAGGGCGATGGCTTGCTGCATCATTGTTCATGGAGATTATGCAGCTGGATTGGCCACCATGCTGCTACAATGGCCGGCACCCTGCCTCGCAGACTCCCTAGACTCACATGAACCATGTACCAGTCTGCGACTCCCTTGCTACCGGATCAGACTCCATTGCCAATCATGTACCGGACGCACCTGAGCACTTTGACTTTGGCCTTTTGGACTACCTCTACGACCACCTCCTGTCGCAGCCGCTGAAGACCGCCTTGCTGCCTACTTTGGGACCTGCTCAAGACCTCCGAAGACCCCTTGACCCATTACAGACCTAAGACTGTGTACCCAGATCCCATTAGACACCCCAACCCTTGTACATGTGAAATTGCCCTCGAACCTGCAACATACAATTCTTTTATTTTATTTTTCATCCCCTGACAACCCATAACCTTGTAGAATTTCAATAGAAATACCCCGTTCACCCTTGTAGGACATCAATAGGAATACCTTGTTACCAGTTTCCCATTGTAGAACATCAGTAGGAATACCCTATCCCCTGTTCACCCTTGTAGAACATCAATAGGAATACCCTATCCCCTGTTCACCCTTGTAGAACATCAGTAGGAATACCCTATCCCCTGTTCACCCTTGTAGAACATCAGTAGGAATACCCTATCCCCTGTTCACCCTTGTAGAACATCAGTAGGATATCCTGTTACCTGCTCCCCCTTGTAGAATATCAATAGGACTATCCTGTTTCCCTGCAATACCCTTAGCCCACCAGTAGGATAGCCCTGTTCACAACCCACCAACACGACACCCTGTG